AAGATCACACATATACATATCTCAAAGCTTTGGACCACATACTGAAATTCTGAACTATTTTTACCAAAATTCTTACTGAAATTCTGATGCTACTTTTACCGAAATTCTTGTTTGATAGTTGGGAGAAGAGGAAGTCAAAGAAAGGAGACAGAAGGTCTGTATGGATGAACTAGGAGCCCCTAACAAAACTGAAACATGAAGAGACAGAAGCACAGACAGGTGACCCAGGAGGAATGTGGAAAAACTACCTGAGTGTGCAGGGAAAGGATTAGGAAAGCCAAAGCCAACCTGGAGTTGAAGAAAGGCTTCAATGGCAAAAGACTATGAAAAAATGCATGCCTGCTGCAGATTGCGGAAGGGGACCTGGTGGCAAAATACATTGAAAAAGCTACAGTATTCAAGACCTTCCTCACCTTGGTCTTTACTGGCAAGCTTTGCCTTCAGTAATCCCAGGTCCCTAAAATGAAAGTGGAAGTCTGGAGTGAGAAAGACTTACCCTTAGAGGAGGGGGATCAGGTTAGGGAACATTTAAACAAACTGGACATAAATGAGTTTGTGGACTTGATAGGTTGCATCCCTGACTGTCAAGGCCACTCTTGGTTTTTTGAAAGCTTGTGGCTACCAGAAGAGGCTCCTGAGGACCAGAAGTAAGCACATATCACTCCAGTCTTCAAGAAAGATGATCCAGAGCACTACAGGCTGGTCAGCCTCACACTGATCCCCAGGAAGGGGATGGAGTAAAACCTCCTGGAGGCCATTTCCAAACATATTAAGGAGAAGGTGGCGACTGCAAGTTATCAGCATGGATTTATGAAGGGAAAATCAAGCCTGACCACTCTGATACCCTTCTACAATAAGATGACTGGCAGAATGGATCAACAGAGAGCAGTTACTATTTATCTTGCAAGGCTTTCAACACTGTCTCTTGTACAACATCCTCATAGATAAAATTATGAAGAATGCACCGGATAAGCAGACAGTGAGGTGGATCAAAAACTAGTTGAACTGCTGGGCTCAAAGGATTGTGATCAGCAATGCAAAGTCCAGTCAAAGGCCAGTGATGCGTGCCCAATACTCTTTAATATCTTCATTAAGACCTAGATGATGAGATGGAGCATACTCTCATGCAAGTTTGTAGATGTTACAAAGCTGGGAGGAGCAGCTGATAGACTGTGCAGCCATTCAGAGGGATTTTGACAGTCTGAAGAGAGGCAGACAGGAACCTCATGAAGTTCAATGACAAATGCAAAACCCTGCACCTGGGGAGAAATAACCCCCGGCACAAGTGCGTGCTTGGGACTGACTGGCTGAAGAGCAGCTTTGCAGGAAAGAACCTGCAAGTCCTTGAGAACAAAAAATTGGCCGTGAGCCAGCAGTGCACCCTCGTGACAAAGGTGACCCACAGCCTCCTGGATTGCATTAAGAACAGTACTGATAGCAGGTAGGTGGGGGGCATCCTTCTCCTTTACACAGTACTGGTAAGGCACATCTAGAGTGTGGGGCTCCCCAGTACAAGAAGCGCACTGACATACTGGAGTAAGTCCAGCAAAGGCCCACAAAGATGATTATGGGATGGGAGCATCTATCATGTGAGGAGAGGCTGAGATTGCCAGGACTCTTCAACCTAGAGAAGAGGAGGCTCGGGCAGGATCTTATTCATGTGTGCAAACAGCTGCTGAGAAGCAGCAAAGAAGATGGAGGCAAACTCTTCTTAGTGGTGCCCAGTGAAAGAACAAGAAGCCACGGGCCACAAACTGAAATCCAGGAAATTCCAACTGGACATCAGGGAGAAAAAAGGCAAAACAAAGACCACACACTTTTTTACTGTATGTGTGGTCAGACACTGAAACAGTGTTGCCCAGAGAGGATGTGCTGTCTCCAGCTTTGGAGACAGTCAACATCCAATTGGACGTGTCCCTGAGCAACCTGCTCCAGCTGACTCTGCTCTGAGCAGGGGAGTTCAACAAGATGATTTCCAGAGGTACTTGCCAGCCTCAGCCATTCTGTGGTTCTGTGAAGAGATGGGAGGAAGGAAAAGTCTGGGCAGCACCTGTCATCTACAATACAGGCTTAGCTTTAATACAAAAGTAAGTAACCCTCCTCATAGAAGACATTTGGCTCATATCTGAATACATCAGCTGCAAAGGCAAACCGATGTTGTTGTTACTCCATGAGGGATTAAAAGCCAGTAAGACTATATACAATTTATCTAATAGTGCTTGTACAGCTGTTTGGGTTTTTTTATTTTTAGATACTTGAATCTACTAAATTTGATTTGGTGATTGGACAGTAAGTCACATTAACATGATTTGTTTATGTTGCTGCTGCTGTTTTAAAAAGAAAGCAAGCTCTGTCACAATGAGAACAGAAAAGATGGAAGACTTCTTTCCTAGACGTCTACATTCATGACTGGAGCTGTCTTTGCAAAAACAATAAATGCAAGTCTGTGTCTTGCTGCAGAGCAATTTTTTCCTCAAAACATTACTTCTTGAAAAAAAACTAGAATATAATACAGAGAGAACAGGCCTGAAGTAGTATGCTTACCCGATAATCACTCAAGAGCAGAGCCAGAAGCTCATCTCCTGATTTTTACACTGAGGTAGAACCATGGGTGCCAGATTGGATGTGGGATGTTAAGGTTTGAATGCCACATAAGGTCTGGACTCCCTTCCTTCCTTCCATGTCTATCACCAAGAGTTATGAGAAGCAGCTGCTCCATACAAGTTAAATTCCAGAAATAAGATTTATAGGAACACCTTAGGAAGGTGTACCAATAATTATCATCTCCTTTTACCATCCCTCCCTTTAACTTTGCACAGACCTGTCTTCCTAATCAGGTATTTATACCATGCTCCATTACTCATTGCATTTGAACTCATAAGCCAGAACAAGTCAGAACAACCTGAACTGAATGACTGGATAAAAACTATAATCTTCAGCCACAAGCAGACTTTAGGATACCAAACCAACTTCACCGAGTTTAAAATAAAAAGCAAGATCCATTTAGGAACACGTTCAGTGAAAGAACTTCTGTTTCAAAAACCATCACGGTGTATCACTCCTTTCTCTCATTTTGACCCTTCACTATTCTTTCTTAACCTAAAGGTTAATTACAACACTTAAGTCCCTAAATGGGTGATACAGCTTTCAAAGACTACTCCTCAACTTTGCATGAATGTTTTCAATGGCAACTAGAAATTATTTTAATGTATGAAAGATCTTTTAGAGCATAATTATCTGTCTTAACACATAGACATCTGTCCCAAATGCAAAGACGTAAATTATTTATTTTCTGTTAAATTAATGTGGGGTACAGCACAGAAAGACTGAAGAGGTCAAATGTGCCTCTACCTACTTGTTTCCTTCTGCTATGGGCTTTTGGTCTCACATATGTGAGAGCCTTGTATCAGATCCACTAGATGGTGCAATCCATCTTCTCCATTCAATGTGTTTGAAGTTTATACACATAAGTAGTTAATTTTTAAAGAGGAAAAAGTCAAACTTAACACTAATCAAGGAAAAGCTTATTATTGGAAGAACAAGGCACCTAAGACAATGTTGGGGTTCAGAAAAGATCTAGGCTTGAAATTCACATATCTTAGCAACCAACATCTCCATTTTCAAGAGAAATATGATGTCACCCAACTTCAAAGTATATAAATGGGGTTCAACAAAATTTTCATCACGTGAAAAAAATGTAATCAGAACAGCATGCTTTGAATGATTTAAGTACCAACAACAGGGAAATAATCAACCCAATAGGGGTTTAGCAGATTAACTGACCAATAAGAATGGCATTCAGCAGCATGGTGGTATTCAAAACAATCTAAAATTTGTCTTAAGTACTTCAGAGGTAACAACAGTACCCATATAAGACTAGAAAGGTAAGGGACTGAGTCAAGACACAGAAATAGAAAAAAATTACTGCCAGGTAAGGAGGTGAACTAAATCCATGACAGACTGCAGCCAAATTTTATTTCGGCCCTCGCCAAGTTCCCAAATGTTTGAGGTCTGCTGAATGATTGAAGAAGATTCTATGCAGCTTATTATTTTCTTGGTAAGTGACTATTTACCATGAACAATTGTGTGCACTGCCAAGACAAGTCCTCGACTAAAAAGCAGAGTAGTGTTTCACTGGCCTCTCAGAAAATGGAACAGGTGCAGTGCTTTCTGCTTGGCAGGCTTAGTAAAAATTAGTAGACCCGCAAAAAGTAATGTATTAGTTTTCTCCTGGCAGTTCTTGGTGGGTTTTTATTCTCAGCAATTCCTACTTTTTCCTCCTGAAAAGAGATGTTCTTTTTACAGGGCAATGAAGACTGTTAATTGACATATTCTACAACAGCTGGAAATGTAGTCTCCTACAGCCTAACAAGGAAAAAAAAAAAAGGCGAAAAAAAAAATTCACCAGCATCAGTGACATATCTTGTAAAGGATAACCCCTAAAATTCAAAGGAAAATGGATTTTTTTCTTCAAACCAACATAAATTGCACCCTAGTACATTAGAAAATTGATACCAAACTCCATTTCTTCTTCACTTCATGAAAATAGTTCTACCAACTTTAATAAGGAACTACAAAACAATACCAACTTTGCTAAAATTAGCATAATATTTCTGGACTGAACATTTTCACTGTGGGCATTTTCCTTCTGAAAAAGGTTCATTTGGAAAAAAAAAAAAATCCTCATGGCAACACGTCTGCCAAGATGAAACGTTGCCTAAAAGGTCACTGCTTTTTTGATGATATGTCAGCCTAGCGCAACAAAAATATTTTGGTTCTTCATTTCACTCAAGAATTTTCAGAAATACCTATGCCTTGCTTAATAATCTTTATAGTGTAAATAGAAAGTATGGAATGAACAGATAGAAAGTTAGCCTAGAAACATGCGCAATTATACAGAGACACTGCTGACAGGACATTTAATAGTATCTTTACACAAAGACCATCCATAATGCTTTTGCCTGTTATTATTTTGTGTCATGTTTGCATACATCACCGACCTTATGGAGTGCAGGAGCCATTACTGGCACCAAAAATCCATTGTAAATGTAATTCACAAGCTGGTTACGTATCAAGGGATGTGCCACCTAAGAGGGTGGAGGAGAGAAAAACAGAGAACAGTTCCAGTGAGATTTAAAACTAGACAGGGCACAGACTACTATTATCCACTACCAAAACCCTTTCCCATTTAACAAGACATATTAATTTGTCATTCTCACCAGCATTTTCTATGATTCAGGTTCTTAAAGATTTTTCCTTCTTCAAATAAATACACAAACTATGTTTAATTACAGTAAGCCTGCCAAATTTTAGAGAACAGTGCTTTTCAATCTCCCTGCATGCTGACAAAGATGAATGGGCAGACAGAAAAATGTGTATACCCATGCATCAAAGGGAGATTCTACATTTAGCTCCTGAAACCTGGTCAGGGTCATCTGAAGGTGGATTTGCCATTGTTAACTTGTCCTCTTACAAGCAGAACAGCTGCTTTCCTATGGTTCAAGAGTAGGTAAATCAAAGCATGCTCTCTGGCTATGGGGCAAGAACATACTGTTCACATGCCCTTCTCCCAGTCACTGTAAAACAAACAAAAATGCAAACAAAACTTACATTATTCATTCAAAAGGTTGGTTGGGAGCTTTAAAAAATTAATTATTAGAAGCCAAAAATTTACTTTTATAATGAAGCATTCATTTTGTTTTCACAAAGAAAATATATTATCAAGTCATGCTTTTAAAAGAAATTTGATAAATACAAACCCAAATTCCATTCAGAAGCATTCTGTTTGAAGGTCATGGAGACTGGAATGTCACAGCCTACACGTGGCCACAAATATTCCCCCACATGCATTTTTTTCCCAGACTTCCTTTAATTTGTAACCCTTACTTTGGAAAGAGAAAGAAAAAAAAAGTTGCCCTTCCTATTCTGCGATCCAGGCAAAAAGTAGTAAATGTTCAGAGGTCTTGGCTACACTGTCCCTTTTTAATCTCTGGCCAAAGTTTTCATGTCAACACAGAAGCCACACCACGAAGACCGTTCCATGCACAGAGCAAGAATTCCTGCAGTAACTGAGCTTTCAATTCAGATGAAGCAAGACTACAAAGACACAATCAAACAGCAGTTAGAAACTGCTCTTTCTGCATGTCAGCTAAAGATCCTTATCCATTTTGAGTTTATTTGAAAAGTGGTTTTAAAATAATATGTTCTTCTTTAATTTGTCTATGGTAATCTTTATATCCATTTTTAAAAAGGTATCAACTATGACCTCCTGCAAGCATAGGTCTGTAGAAAAATTCTGCTTCGACACCCAAATGAATATTGTCTCCATGTTTAAACATGCACGTTAAAAATCTTGTGTATTGCATTGAAAGAATGACAGCTACTATTATTTTCGCATGTTCAATTCTTTAATAGTCAATCAGTTGCTTTACTGTATTTTGCATACGTCTCACTAAAACATATATTTTATTTAACAGTAAATGTGACAATTTTCAATCCTATTCAGCATATTTCTTCAAGTAACACATAAATCCATAGTTTCTGTAGAATTTGAGGCATCCAAGCCAGAAAAAAACCCATTGTAATCAAGAAATAATCATTAAGAACAGAGAGTGGATTCAAAACAAGCCAATCTAAAATGAATTTATATTTCTATGAAGATACCTAAATTCTGCTTGGAAAGCTTTCTTCATGCAGTACTCGCCAACAGGCAAAACAGACTATTTTGTTTTGTATGCTATTATGAGAACTTAGACAAACACAAAATGTTTTTCATTGCTTAAGTACGTAAAGACTACAACATTTTCCCACACATAAAGGCATTCAATTTACTTTTAGTATCAACAGTGATATTAAAATGCAATAAACTTTTTTTTTAAAAACAGAAAATCCTCCCTATTACATAATGAAATATCAAGCCTTCGCACAAATCTACTGCTTTCACTTGAAACATATGTCACCTGAAAACCAAAAACATATGAACTCATCCTTATAACCAGGGCGAACAGCACAAAACATCTGTTTTATTAACAACCCATTTCAGTGTAACTTAAAAAGTCCGTGCCATTAATAAAAGTAAATAAACTCTATAAACTTCTGCAGAATATATAAAAAATTACTACTTCAAAAAGACAGGCCAACCCTGATCCATTACCTGTATCACAGCATTGCAGAATTCAAGGGAATTCATGAATTGTACAAGAGCTGGTGACAAGAGCCAGTCATCTTTCAGCAGGCAGTGCCACTCTTCTCCTTTTTCTTCCAGCTTCGTAGGCAAAGATGAATAGAGGCCACTTAGTCCTGTTGCAAGCACCTGTATGTCAAAAACATAGGAGAACTAAGTTAACTTTCCAACTGTCCATCTGCTTGAATGGCAATGCCACAGATGGTTTTTCTTACTAGTTTTAGTAACATAAGAGTGTGTTGACAGTAATTTAATTTCCTTTCGAAAGAGCCCTGTGGCAGAAAAACATGAATATTTTAAAGAGCCTTCAATTTCAAAGAATCCTTCTTTCAAAAACTGGTATTTAGGAGAAAGGGATGGAGAAAATCAGGTCGTCTTGTATTTTTTTTAATATCTTTACAATTACTTTTTAAATACTTCTAAAATAATTTTCTACTTTCCTTCAGTCCCTTCCAGAAGAAGCCATCACTGTCATATATCTACAGCTTCTCTTTCATTGGCGATTTGAATGTTACTGCTTACACATGCCTATATGAAATTATTTCATTCAGAAATATGAAACATTAGAAATGGAGGGGGGAAGTGCCTCCATCAACAAAAACGAAGTTCAGCCTCATGTAGACCACAGATATATGTTGCCTTTCATTTCTGGACAGTTGAACTCAGCTGAATCCACTTAAAATTTAAACTGTTCGTAATTTCTCATTTTCATTTCTTACTTGGAAGGGGGAAAGGAAGAAATAAAAAAGCCTGAAATAATTTACTGTATAGACATTGTTTCCAGTGATGTTAAGGCTTACAGAGGTTTTATGTAGAATATATCACTAAAACACAAGATTGTATTTTAAAAGTGTATTGCCAAAAGTTTTTTTTTTTAAATTTCCCTGAATATATCTAGAGTTTTGGTAGTTTCAGACCAAGTTTTTAATTATTAAAATTATTTGAAGCTGGAAACTTTCTAAATATTTTTACAATTCATCTTTCTAACATGTTTTTATAAAACTTCAGGATAATTTTTAAGGTGATTCTCATTTTAATGGGAAGACTCAGCCTGATGGGAATCTTTTTAATTTTCATTCAACAGACTCTTGTACGATATCTTCCTCTTTCTGCAAAGGGCTGCTTGGCACCTACAGGGCTAGACAGTCAAAGCTCTGATGAAACACAATGGTTTTATCTATTAGAAAACAGTTGACAATGTGCAGGTCAAAACCAAGGGTTCACAGAAGGGGGTTCAGGTTTTGATCATATGCAAGTGTAACCAATTATAATTGCTAACACATCCAGTCAGACAAAGGCTGTGTTTCTGAATGCTTGCCATTCTTACATCACATCATTTTTGAAGATGGATTTATTCTGCCATACATGATTAAGCCAAATATTAAGAAGCTGGGGTTGAACTATGGAAAGTTCACTGCTTTAGCACACAGCTACTTTTTTTATACACATATATACACAGCTATATAAAGAAAGATGCTGGAGATATTTCAAAAAACCTAAGAAGCTAAAGCAATTAAACAAAGCTTTATTTGTACAATCATGTTCTTCTATAACTATAATCTTTTTTGCTTTTTCTCTTTCTCATGGTAGAATAGCACAAAGCAAAAAGTCAGGAAGATCTTCATAGGCCTATAGAACTACCTATACGTAACCCACACACACACTTGCACTCATGAACTCAGGCTTCAGGTGATTCTAGGAAGGAAAAAATTCTTTAGAGAGAACTTGAGTTTCTTTTCTGTTGCAACCTTTTAATTAAAGCACACTTGATTTTCCACTGTCTGCTTAAAATGTAACTGTTAGTCGTAAACACATACTTACCCTCTCAGTAAGTAATCTGATTTTCAGACCTGTGTACTATCCACATTTCTTGGTCATATGGAAGTTTAGTCCTTAAGTACAAGGAACTGACCTTCAACAAAACATACTACTCTCCACTAAAAGGAGCAGTGAACTCAGTCAGTCAAGGCCTTGAAGTGAAGAATTCTTTAGTTTGTCTGACTTACTGAAGTAAGAAGTGACAGATGTAGCTGCTAAAAGGCTGTCAAGTTTAAAAAGCTCTTATTTTTGCTATGAAGTACAACACAAATGGCTCTATGAAATTATGTTTCTAAAGCACTGAAACGGAGAGTAGCCACTGGAAGCAATTTCACCTCTGTAGAAAAAAAACATTTAAAAATTTTCATAAAAATATATGGTATAAACAAGATCACCATTTGAAATTACTAACAGAGTCTTTACATTCTATAAACAGGCATATAAAACAATGCACATATATGACATTATGGAGTTTCAATCAGTAAAATGATAATCATTAATAAAAAAAAAAAAAAATCTGGAACTGAAGAAAATTAGTGAGTTCACGTCCTGGAAGGGCAAGATTGGTTTTATTTTTGTTTTACCCAGAGCAGTGTTCTTTTAAACTTCTCCCAACATTTGTCATGTCAACCCTACGCTCTCATCTACCTTTACAAGCATCTTCAGCAGTTTCTCACCATCGAGTCATGAGTCTCTCTGCAAACCAGTCTCCTTGATTTATTTACTTTCTCTTGACTTGCAGAAGACACTATGTGATTTATAATCCCAGACTCATTACATGATTAAAATGTGTTGTTAATATATAATCAACTCCCTTTAATAATTTCCTTTCCTCCCACATCCACAGTCTTTCTATCTCTGTGCAGCCTCGACTGTTCAGGGACACTGCAGAGCCATGCTTCCTCCTGCTTTAATACTTGCTTTCCTAAACCGTGAAGTGTTTACAAACACTACATTTTATGGAGAGACTTTGAGATGTTACCCTGCTCAAAATTTTTTAGAAACATTTTTTTCTTATTATAATGCTGAACAGACAATATCTTCAATCAGATTCAGAAAACTTCCAGGTCAAAACACAACAAAAATGATATGGCAGAAAAATCTCTGTAAATCAGAATACTGTCCCCAACAGTCTGTGTAAAAACCATTTGTTAGTGATGTATCGTACTGCAGTCTGTTCCCTTATTTATAGGTTATTCTAGTTTTTAATAGTATGGACAATCTAGTTTTAAAAAGCTGCTAACCAAAGTCAGCTTAAAAAATAGTATAAAGAAAGACTTCAGGTTCACTTTGGCACAGATCTAACACTGATTTGGGTATATGAGGCAGCAGAGACTTATAGCCAGACCCCATCCCAGCACATGTCTATACTATGCAATAAAGCATGATAAAGAAAATCCCATACGTTACCAACCAACTCAGCCCCAAAACCAGAGATAGTATCAACACAGTGCCACCCAAATGCCACTCCTGTCAGCACAGGACCACACTAGCTGTTTTGCAGAGTAGCTGAGGCCACATCTGCAGTGATTTGAGTGATATACAGCAATGCCACTGACACCTATAGTCTTCATCCAGAACAAAACCTGCTCCTTCAGCTCATCACACTCAAAATCAAAAAGATGTTGTGCTAGTGAGCCAATTCTATGGTACTGCATTAAAGTTTTATTATAGACTTAGGTCAGTCTCGTTACTGTTCAGAAAAGTCTGATTTTAGCATATTTTGACAAGAAGCCTTCCTAATTAGAGTGATTGTCAATCATGGCTCCCTGCTGTTCGAAGGTTAATATAGCTGGCTTTTATCTTCAGTGTAAAAAGGGTGAGGGTTTTTGGTTTTTTTTTTTTTTTTTTAATTGGAAGATGTAATTATGGAAGTTATAGCATGGATCCAATAATGGTATCTGTCTCGAGGGCAGTTTGAGAATCAAGTTCATATTCTTGAGCAGCATCTATTAAACAAGGTCAAGTGGAGTCTCTCAACACAAGAAGTTCGATGCAATATTTACAACTGACAAAAGAAACCACTTAGAAGTTTTGCTTTGGAACTTGTAGGCCTCCTCCAGCCTGCTCAAAGGACGTAGAAATCTTAGAGTAAATGGAAACATACAGCTGGAATAGCTAGCATGCACTAACGATTAAGGCAGGGATTCTAGTGTTCTCTGCTCTAAAGCTCTCTACTTTAGTAGCTATGTACGGCTCCCCTCCACTTCATTTGTTCCGGCATTTATTAAACTAAAATGCAAGCCACACAGATTAAAAATATCAAAAACTAGCACACAAGAGCAACTTTTCTGCAGAACCCATCCATTTTAGACCTCAGTGTGATTTTATCTCATGTGATAAGGCATGAAGCAGAAGGTGTTGTAATGCCCATTCTGCTTTAGCTTTAAGACTGCAGTAGGGCAGCTTTGTTTGTTAAATCAGATTATTTACTTATTCAATAGCAAAGGTTTTCGATGCATGTAGTAAGATTGATTGGTCTGATGCAACAATGCAACGCTACTATCAAGTTTTGTGACAGAGTACAACATTGCAAGATGGTGATTTGCCTGAGACGGCCACAGAAACATCTAATTCTGTGACAAAGAACAAGCCTCCCTTTTATATTGCAAAAAATATTACATTTCTGTAACACTCACATTATTTTCAGATTTATTTTTTAAACTGTTGAACTGACGTTATACCGTGGCAAGCACAGTCTACTTAAGCTAGCACTGCCACCAGAAACAATAGCCTCGGAACACCTTGTCCCCATTTCTCACTCCTGTCACTCCCAGAATCTCACAGGAGCCTCACAGTGAGACAGCAGAGGTTTCCCTCCCACCAAGTTCTGCTATAACTTCCATTAGCTTCCCAATTCAATTCACTGTGTGACTGCAAAAACACTATTGCTGGCCCAAAAGCACAAGATACTGGTATGGAAACAAGAAGCAAGACTGCATTTGGCAGTAGGGCTGATTTAAGCAGTATTACAGTTTATGAAATAGCTGTTAGCAGAAACCAATGTGTTACAACACACCTTTATCAAAATGACAGAAAAGGATGAGAAGAATACAGGGCAGACAGTTTAGCACTGAAGATAAGCAAAACAATAACAACTTACTGGGCAAAAATAGGTGTTTTCTGCTATGTGGTTTGCAACAAGGTTGTTTTCTGCAGACAGAGACATTATGAAAAGCAGCGCATCACGGGCCTGTTGGCCTACGGTTCCTTCTCGATGGATGAAGGGAATCAGCAAGGAAAATATGAGGAAATTGGCGGCTCCTTGGTCTTCACTGGTGTGAAAAAACAGTTCTAAAATGGATGGATCTTTGGCTATTATAGAGCAAAGCTGGTTCAAGAGAATAACCAATTCTGTTTCCACTGTTGAAGTGGCTGTTCCTGAGCAGGAACTCAGCAACATCATCAAAGGCTTCAAGATGGGCTTGTGATGCAGCAAAGGCTGATGAGACTGGGTAACTAGCATTTCATACATTTTGAGTTGCTCAATTTTTGTCTCATCGGTGAACTCTCGCCGTAGGCTCCAAAGAAAAAGCTTCTCCATGATGTTTTCGGAGACCACGAACTCCAGAATAGGCCCCATTGAGGCATCCTTTGCTTGCTCCTCAATTAATAAGAAAAGCATGTGCTCCACATAATTCTGAACAGTGCTGGCCTCATCAGGTGAAATCGCCCCGTACTTTGCCTGAGTGTTTTTCAAAGGATCATGCTTCTCTAAGATTTTCAGAACCTAAACAAAGGCAGATCAGTTATTTGAATGCATTTTTTTTTTAAATATGCATTTACCCCCATATGGAAAAAAAACATCAAAATTCTTAACATAAAAAGCACTTGTGCTTTTAGTTTTTGTCTGTCAAAATTTTTAAATTTAAAAAGTTTCACATTCGGCATGAACAAGGCCAAAACATAATGCTTTTGTTCACCTTTTTTTTTTTTTTATACAAGCACCTAGATTTGCCACTTGTCCTACTGCTGAAAACTTGGGGTTCTCTGAAGTATGGATAAACTAGGTTCTCTTAATCTTCAGAAATTGAGATTAAATGACTTTGTAGTAAATTTCTTTGTCACTGAGGATTGAAATCAAAGGGCCTGCTCTTCAGCCAGAGTAACTGTGCTCAGGAGTATCAATATCATAAGATTATTTGCAGTAGTAAGAGTAACAGAAACCTACAGAGCTGATCTTCCCTTGCTACATCTTATATGACACCAAATGGCCACTGATGCCCACATACTCTTGCAAAATTCAATACAGATTTAGGATTGAGTAACAATTGTCATCCCAGCCCTTATACCCCTGGATTGAATTCTGTTCTGCACACAGTCAGTGAAGCTCATTGTCTGTGAAACAGCCACTGTCTTTAGCCTTTTTGTGGAGGATAATTGCCACAAAACCACAAAGGAACAGTGGCTCCCCTAACATGACATCATCACTAGAGTTAAGTGAGAAAAGTTGACTCTTGAGAAAGGGCTCCTCTGACCCTGGCAATGTCTCAGGAACACCACCATTCATCTGGCTTGCTTCTCAAGGTAGCCAAAAAAGAGCAAAAGTAGCAGCACATAAATCAATTTTACATAAACCGTTAGTTATTTACATTACTGCAAAAAATAAGACCTTATATTATGGTGCTCAGAGCAAAACACCTTTGCCTAAAAGCAATTATAATCCTGATGACATGCAAACAATTTTTGTACTGAAGGACATAATCTACATCTATCCACAATAAACAAACTGCACACAGCTTTGCACCATGTGTCTAATATACTTCACAAAAGATAGGCAAGCCTGACCCAGCACAAGGAAAGGAAGCACAGAGGTTTGCAACAGAGTAATAGTCACAGTGCAACACTACAAAGATCTAGGCCTTCCTTAAGATATTACCAGTCCTACCATTTCCCATTTAGATGCAAATCTGGAGTTCAAAGTGAGATTAGCAAAGCCTAACCATACCTTGAAAGGTCAATTACCTTTGCATTTTAAAAATGTTTCAGTGTCATCTACTACATTCTCCACAAAAGACACTTGTTCCTGAGCAATTCAGGATTATCTCAAAGGAAGGAATGAAGCAAATTCCTATTAATGCCATGTACTTCAAATCAATAAAACTAATTAACATTACCTGTGCCCAGTGTGTTCTAAACACTATCATGCATGTTTCTGGGTCAACATCCTGCAGGCTCGGAGCCTGCCGATTTCTGCTGATCCTGGTTCCAGAGGACATTATAAATTTTCCAAAGGTCAAGCCAACTAAGCCATGCTGGATTTCTTTTTAAAATCCTGTTGTTAGCTATAAATGTTCAAGCATCATGATGAGATTGATACTGTGCTTTAAGCTTTGGTATCCGCAGAAATCTGTTTAAAAACAAGACAAAACAAAAGACACCTAAATATACCTATGCACATCAAATTATATTGTATAACAGAAAAGAACATCCTTAAAGAGAACACTTAAACCTTTTTTCTTTTAAATCAGTTTGTGATTAGAATTTTTTAAAGCATGTTATATAGGACCATCTTCTCAAATTTTTCATCATAACAGTTTCTAATGCTCACACTTTAGAGATCAGTCACTGAATTAAGGTGCTACTGAAACAAATAAGCATAACAGAAGCTAATGCAGTAAACATTTTATGCATACGTCACTACATTTTTGGTTTTTCATTGTGAGATTTTTACCACCTGACCATGTCTCTATTCAGAGTTGCTTAGTAACTAAAGTTGTAGAGACCATACAGGTGAAATAGTACAGGTTATATCTCTATTTTTGTAAAAGCAATATTTCCATTAATAGATATAATTACAAATACTTAAAAGTTTTCTGTCAGAAAACATATTATAAACAGTTAAAAACATCTGTAGAACACCATATGCAAGGAGAAGGATGCATCTTTATCAATACCAAAGTAACCAAAACCAAAGAGTGTAACAGATAAAACCTTCATGTTTCCAAAGCCAAATAAATTGAGATGTCATATTAAAGGACTATGAGAATAAAACCAAACATTGAAACATGCTTTTCATCCATTATTTAATATCCTAGATATGTGAGTATCAAAATAGTTGCACACCTCCAGGGGAAAGTTAAAATGAAACAAAGGCAGATATCTTCCAGATAGTTGAGAGGCTTAAGAGAACGTATGATTCCCTCAAGCACCAGTATGTAAATCACACAGTCCCCTCTTTTTTTTTTTTTTTTTTTCTTCTTCCAACCCCCTCCCAACCTTTACATTTTTATTCTTGCTTTTGCAAACCAAGTAGGCTTTTAATTTCATTTTGTTTTGGGCCAAAACAAAACACCACAAAACCCCTCCACCCTGCAAAAAACCCCCCAAGACTCCCACAACACCAATATACAAAGAGTTAAGAAGACAAATAATATACTACAAGTTCCTACAGCTCATGTAAATCATAGCAGATTTTTATTTGCATTAGAAGTGCCCTCCACCTCTCCAGTCTTCATCAGGATCCCAGAGCCTCTGAACATTCGTTGCCTTAGTGAAATACACAAGGAAATTTTTGTACCATAAGTTGCCACAGCACACACAGCAATTCTTCACCAGTATAGTAGGTATTTCTTTGCATATATCTTAAAAGATAAAAATCTTTTCTCTACGGTAGACATCTCTGCTCCCTGCATGCGTGCTCCATTTGTATTCTTGAAACTGTTAGCACAGGAAAACATACAGCCTGTCTCAAAAGTAGCAACAACTTTTGCCATTTTCAAAATATCCAAAAATATACAGCATGCAACTTTGAGATCTGAGGTAAGCAAAAAGCAAAAGATAGTTATGCATTCCCCTGTATCTATATGTGTATATTCACATGTTCAAGATTCAGCTGCATGATCAGAGTTTCCCCCCTCCATCCCAACCGCTGCTTCTTACAGCACATAAGATGCATTTCGGATGCATTTTCTAAACACTCTCATGCAATACAATTAACACAATCTAGTTCATTCTTTTTGCAGATAAAATATTCCATGGGTGGAAAAGCCAGCATAAATCCTGGACAGTTTATATCTGATTGGGTAACACTACTTCCAGAATGAAGCTGGCATACAAACTACCCTCCAGATAATAAACCACCTTGAATCAGATGCATTGGAGAGCACTGTGCAAAACCAGTGAGAATCAGCTCAGGAGAGCCAGCCGACGCTGGGAACAGAAGTAATCCCTTATAAAATATCAAAGTCCCTATTCCTTGCTTCCCTACTCCACCCACACTTCTCACCTGCCTATCTCTTCCGTGCTTACACTGGCCTTACACTTGCCAAGCACTCTCTCTCCCAGCAATTCAGTTCATACGCTCATGTGCTTGAGGGCACCTACCGGTATACTGCTGCTACTTAAACAGTCCTGTAAAAATGGATAGTACTATTTCTATACTACTGATGTTCCTGCACAAGAAAAAAAAAATAAAAATAAAAATATCACAGATCAAAGTAGCAAGTGGATTTAAGAATCCAACTTCAGAGGCCTAGGATCTGGTTTTCTAATCATTACTGACTTCAGTAGTTACCAGTATATGTTCAATGCACAGCGTCTGGTGACTTTTGTTTGCTTTCTGAGAACTCAACATTTCTACCCAAAACCACTCAGAAAACAAGATACATGCTTAGAGACTATTTAGAAGCAGCTTGCTGTAAGTAGTTTGCCTAATACCATAACTAATAATCCAAAGGAATATTTAATTGACCTATTCTTCAGATCACCCATCTACTTCCTTCCAGTTCCCTCTTTCCCAGCCCTCTCCCTCAAACAAGAATCTTCCAATTTCAGTAAAAGTTCAGCAGTCTCCTCCAGGCAAAAGTGTCCTTCACTGCACAGCCCTGATTCACCCTTTGAGCAGATCTGTCCTATGCATGAAGTGAAGCAAGCAGCTTTGGAAAAACTAATGTGATTGTGTAATTAAAGATGGTATCATAAGGTGCAGCAAGAGAACTTAATTAACACAAAGCAGAGGCAAGCTCAATTCTGGAATTCACACATTGCTTGACTTTACAACTTAGAGGTTGTTCCAATGTAGACTTTACATGTTATTTAAGAATTTAAATAAAAGAAACTGATATTGCACATCTAGATATCACATGACAAATTCTGTCAGCAGTACAGCAGTAAGATACCAAGAGTAGAAGCAGAAACTGCAGATCAGCCTCCACTATTTAAGTGAGTAAACAACAGTAAGGAAGATTACGGCTTTCTTCAATAATGCTGATAAAAAAATCAAAGATCAGTGATGTAAGACTCTTGAGATGCATGCAAAACTCTAGGATGTATCACACACAGGCAATCCAAAACTATTTAACCCTTTACCCTCTCTTCTCCTTTAATCTGTTCTAATTCTCTGTCCTCCTTAGCTTTCGCAATTTCCTTTTTTCCTCATGTGTCTTTCCTATCCCAGCCTCAGACTCTGCTCCACAAACTTCAAGACAGTACTCACGCCCTCTGCATCAGACAGACCCTCCTTTAAATAACTACTTCTATCTGGTAGCTCTCTAAACATACTTTTCTGGATTAGAGGTTCCATATTGGTGCTTCGGTCATTATGGATTCCTGAAATATTGCCCTACTTCTCTGCAGCTATGAGAAGACCTAAAGTGAACAAAAATAGATCTCTCAGCCCACATTCAAAATATATCAAGATGCCAACAGATCCAGTGACAGAGCCATTGTTAAGTTTGTGTGTCCGGTAGGAAAGCTCACTTTCCACAGAAGTGTTACTTAGTTACTGACATTTGTGTAAGAGCAGTGTTACTGAACTCTCAAGCCCTGCCTCTGTTAACATCTCACCCGCCTGAACAGACAACTGCTAGATGCTGCACTGGTATTGCGGACATGTTTTTCTACACAAGGATATCCTCAGTCTAGCCACCATATACAAAGAACAGATACAGCCCCTGTGAAAGAAGTCTGCAAGACAAACGTGTCCCATCATCTCCTGCTTAAGGTCCTCTAAGGTTCTATTCATCCAAGATATTTAAGAGCTGCTTGTTCTCTCCAAGTCCTGATTTGGGCACACTCGAATTACAACACTGGGAGTTCTCAGATAAACACGTCATTACCAACTGCCAGCTTTTTGATTCAAATCAGATCTTTTTCAGAGTTAGGTAATACCAGATCAGAAGAGAAAGGGCTTTCAGCGTTGCTAACTCTAGAAATGTCTACACTACCAGCCACAGAAAACTTTTGGGAAGGTTCCCTCGAGCTGATACTGCATGCATCCTGTCTGGTCCATTTACTATATTTGTTATTACAGGCACAAACATAACCCCATTTCTTGATAAAAATCTTTGGGAGTGTGTGATTGACAAACTGTGAAATAAGAAATTCATCTCCAGCATTTACGTACTCTAACTAAAATCTGCACCTAACAGTATACTGCACATACAAACAATGAGAAGATTAAAGCCATTTACATCCCAAAAACACAAATCACAATCACAAAAAAGATCTTTTGTCCCTTGGTGACAGACAATAACATCTCAGTAAAATTCAGTCTAACAGTTCATTCTGAATGTTCACTCCTACTGCAAAGTCATCATAAACACACTGTACAAATCATCACATGAAGAGCAAAAATACCAAATTTAAATTATTAGATGAAAACAACTTGCTTGTAGCGAACATTAAGCTGATGAGGGCTACATTCACTTGCATCTAGTCCAGCTATCGGATCAGAAATCTAAGAGTAGTCAGAGAACACAGACATTATCCTCACAGTGTTCAATACTATGGCTTTTTAATCATCTCTAATTTAGAAGTAACAAGACAGCAACAAGCAGACTGCAATGTGCAATAATATTTCCAAGATCAAATCAATTCCCTTAAGGAAACAAGAATTTCCAATTTGGAAGGCATCTTGGGATGCTGGGATTTCCTTAGTAATACAAAACACTAATAGACTGTGTAGGCTTCAAAGACTTCAAACTCTGTAATAGTGTATCAAAAAGCATACAAAGCTTTTGACAACTTAAGTGGTCACAGAGTAGATCCTAAAAACAGCATACCTATTTAAAAAAGGAAAGTAATTTAATTGGAAGAGTTACTATCTTTTAAGATACATATCAATCTAAAGTTAGTGTGCTCTAGTTATAGCAGTAGTACAAAGAATACATTCATTATATTTGCGGTACGCAGATTTTATTACTAATTAGTAGGTTTTCTTGATTGTTTTGCAAGACCAAATGTACCACAGTAATTGCAACATCACATTATTCCCTGTGAAGTAAAACTAACTCCAATTAAACAGGACAAATAACCTGACTATATTGAGTCCAAAGGTGAGAAAATAAATTAATTTATAAAACACTGATTCGTGGAGGAAGGCATAGAAGTGAACTCGGGGGACACTAA